TAATTGATTAGTATAGTATTAAGGAAGAAAAATATAAGTGTATGCGTGATTTAAGGTACTTTTGGTTCAAATTTTTTCACTTCCTAAATTACCCCCTAGACTTCATATTTTAAAGGCAAATTTGATGGCACAAAAAGTAATATGCCAAGGAAACCCAAGGGTAAATTCATAAAAGGGATCCTGTTTTAATAGTATTGATGTAACTCTCTTGAAATGTTGCACAAAAAAAAAGAAGTAATTCTCTGGAAAATAATGATAACTATCCTACAGTAACGAATATCCCTCCCGGCAGATACTTTCGATTAGATCTTCTCAAAACCCTCTCTTTTTTTTTTCATTTTATTTCTCCGGCAAGATTAGATCTTTGCTGCTTCGTACAGTGTGAGATCCAAACACCTTGTGGACTTTGATCTGTTATAGAGAAGATGGGAAGCTCAACGGAAGAGAAAGTGGTGGCTGTGATCTTGGTCGGTGGTCCGACCAAAGGTAAACAAACAAAAAAACATTTAAAGACTTTGCCTTTTGTTGTGTCTCCTTCTCAAATATCAATGCCCTGTTTTAAGGAGTTCGTTAGAGTTAGTTAGTTTTGATCGATCTCTAACGAACTCCTTAGACTCAGATTTGTTTGTTTGTCTCTTGTTAAGACAATTCTTGTCCGAATGGTTTATGTTTTTTTTTTTTTTTTTTCTGATTACGTGTTCTGATCTTGGATCCACACACACGCAGGTACTCGGTTTCGACCATTGTCCCTGAACATTCCAAAGCCTCTGTTTCCTATTGCTGGACAACCAATGGTTCATCATCCTATCTCTGCTTGTAAAAGGGTAACACTTTTTTTTTTTACTCTCTCAAACTTCAGACCAATGCATCATGATGGTAATGATGATATCAATCTTGTACTGTCTGCAGATTCCGAACTTAGCTCAGGTTTATCTTGTTGGTTTCTATGAGGAAAGGGAGTTTGCACTTTACGTCTCTGCTATCTCCAATGAACTCAAAGTTCCTGTCAGGTTTTGATCTTTCTTCTTGCATCTCAAGTAACAGTTTTGATCATTTATGTTTGTTTTGTTTGGGGTTTCTTTATTTATTAGATATCTAAAAGAAGACAAGCCACATGGTTCTGCTGGTGGACTGTATCACTTTAGAAATCTAATCATGGAAGATAACCCGGTTAGAAATCTAGCTTTATTGTACTCAATTATTTGATGAAACCAAGTGTTTTTGCTTCACATCTGAGTTCTTGTGTGTTTCTCCCTTGCAGTCTCATATCTTCCTACTTAACTGTGATGTTTGCTGCAGTTTCCCCTTGCCGGAAATGCTCGGTATGTACTCTGTTTTTTTAATAAGTTCTGATCTTGTGCGGATTCATCTTTAGGTTCTGAAGAATATTCTTAGTCTTGATATTTGATACTTTGATTCAACAGAGTCTCATAGGAAACATGGTGGGATTGGAACTCTTCTTGTGATCAAGGTTTGCGATTGAGTATATAAGAATGACTAGTCTTGTTTTTGTTTTCTGTTCTGGTCGATTTTATTAAAAAGATGCTTCTGTGTTTTTTTTTTTTCTTAAGGTTTCTCCTGAATCAGCAAACCAATTTGGAGAATTAGTTGCAGATCCTGTTACTAATGAGCTGCTTCATTACACCGAGAAACCTGAAACTTTTGTATGTACATATCACTGTGATGATTACAGATCTTTAGCATCTTCAGATTATAATGTTTTATCTTGGAACACACAGGTCAGTGACCGTATTAACTGCGGTGTTTATGTATTTACGCCTGAAATTTTCACTGCTATTAGAGATGTTTCCACTCAAAGGAATGACACAGGTAAAAGCAGTAACAAAGATCTTAGACCATAGTGTATGCTTCCTTCTCATGGTTCTTGTTCCCTTTTGTTTGTCTTAGTGACTCTGAGACGTGTTTCAAGCTATGAAGCTCTTCAACCGGCAACAAGGTTTGTTGATTGTCTCTTCATACATAACTAAACAGCCTTTAAACTGAATCATCTTCTTAAGATAATATGTTTTCACTCCTTTAAAATAGGATCCCCGCAGATTTTGTTAGATTGGATCAAGACATCCTCTCACCTCTAGCTGGGAAGAAACAGCTATATACTTACGAGACTATGGATTTCTGGGAGCAAATCAAATCTCCTGGGTATGCCTTTGCCTTTGTCTTTCCATATATTTCTCTTAAGATTCAAGGAGTGTACAGTGAAAGTGTTATGGCTCTGACTTATGTGTTTACTTTTTGCTCAGAATGTCGTTGAGGTGCTCGGAGCTTTATCTTTCCCAGTTCCGGTTAACCTCTCCCCAGGTTTTGGCTAGTGGTGATGGAACAAAGAGTGCCATAGTGATTGGTGATGTATACATACACCCTTCTGCAAAAGTTCACCCTACTGCAAAGGTAAGTAACTCTCTGGTTTTGTCCCTTGTTGATCCCACTTTTACCACAAATCATTCAGTTTTGTTTATTAACAGATTGGTCCCAACGTCTCAATCTCTGCAAATGCTCGTGTTGGACCGGGTGTCAGGCTTATCAGCTGTATCATCCTTGACGACGTTGAGATCATGGTATGTCTTCTTACACATCAATGACTTAAAGAAAAAAAGAGGAACACTTCTCTTGTGTTTGACTCTTGAGTGATGACTGTGTTCCCAGGAAAATGCAGTGGTGACAAACGCAATCGTTGGTTGGAAATCTTCAATAGGGAGATGGTCACGTGTCCAGGCATGTTTCTCTCTTCACTCTTCTGCTCATCTGTTAAAAGAGTCTTGACTCATCCTGTTTATGTTTGTTGTGTCCTTTACAATCTTGAACCTGAAGCTTTTCTATGTTGATTACAGGCTGAGGGTGTCTACAACGCCAAACTCGGAGTTACAATTCTCGGTAAACTGTTTATATCCCCACTTCCTTCTCGTTACATATAAGAACTAACTTGAAATATAATTGGTTTACAGGAGAATCTGTTGCAGTTGAAGACGAGGTTGTGGTGACTAGCAGCATTGTTCTTCCAAACAAGACACTCAACGTCAGTGTTCAAGACGAGATCATCTTGTAATTTTTGAAAAGGAACCATCCCAAGGGGAAGCTATACCATCTCCCCTCAAAGATTCAATGTTTACTGGAGAATCACAGAATCAAATGTATTTTTGGGAACTCATACACATGAACCATTTCTTTACTTGAAGAACTTTTCAACTTTGTATACTCAAGAGTTTCACATGAACCGTTAGTATCATTGTCTTGCATGTCAAGTAATGATTTGTTTTTTATTGTGTTCTTTTTTTTCTTCAACTACAATGTGAGAAACTTGTTTACGAGAGACTATAGACTCTAAAATTTTCCAAGAAAGATCCTCTGGAATGAAACTGGTACAGAGTTTGTATGCTAAGCTGAGATGTATGCTAGTACTGTAACATCGTTTTATTTCTATGTATATACAAAAGTATGTAGGGAATGATATTGGTGAAATGACAAATCTAGAAAAACCTCACAAAGCTATTGTTCCTGATGAAACTGAGATTATACTAAAAAGAAAGAAAAGACAAAACCTATTGACGTTGCGTTGAAACTCTCTCCATAATCTTCTTTCTCTCTCGATCTTTTAAGCACTGTCATCAAGTCCTTGAAACGATGAAGACAAAGGGATCGGGTCACCACCAGGTTGCTGGAAAGCTACTACTCCGCTTTTACTACCACTTGTCTGCTTCTCATACTTCCTCCTGCAACCTGGGCAAACTCCAGTGTTTTCCCTGATCATCTTATGATAGCAGAAGAGACAAATCTTGTACACGCAGTAAGAACATGGTTTGAAGAGTAGATCAGTTGCATCCATCTTGTTAATGCAGAGAGGACAGTTCTCATCTTCTTCTTTCTTCTCATCAGTAGGCTTCTCTGGTGACTTTGCAGTAGTAGAAGAAGACTCGTTACTCTGGCTTGGATCTTCATCGTAAAGCATCCTCAAGGCATCGCTATAATCATCGCTGGAATTGTCATTCTCATCACAAAGAAACTCTTCCTCTTCCTTCTCTGTGACCTCCTTAGAACAGCAGAAGCAGTCCTCATCGTCGTCGTCACTATGATTACTCCAAGATTGAGAAAATCTTTCGCTGAGTGTTTTGATGTCTCGTAAAGATCTGAGTCTAGAGCAGCCATCTTCCTCCTCTTCATCTACGACATATTCTCTCTTACCTAACATCATCATAACAAACAAATACATCAACATTCATTCACAAATCACAAGACGGATCAAGAACTGAAAAAGAACATTAAAGATTATTCATACGTCGTTGGTGAATCCATTGACTGTGACGAGGATCATCAATCTTCCACTGTTTCAGCTTCTTTAACCAATTCACCTGTAACCAATATTCAACATTAAAAGAAAGAAGCAAAGGCATGAAGATATCTTGATGAACAAGATTCTTTTTCTAGAAACTAGCAACAATCTAACGATGAAACTACGATCCATGCATGCATCATATCAGGGAGATAAATACACAAGCATGCATGCTCAAAACGAGAAAAATGAATTCGCATCAAGTGGGAAAGCTCACATTCGGTTTCTTGAAGAAAGCTGTAGAGATCGGAGAGCCATGAGAGAGTTGAGAATCGGTGGTCGAATCAGCAGCAACCATGATGACTATCTTCTCTTCTTTTGTGCGTGCACAAAGAGTAGTGTTGAAGAAGAAGAAGCAAACCCTAATCGGAGAGAAAGAGAGAGAGAGAGAGAGATGGGAAGCGGAAACTGCTTTGCTACGTTCCTTTGTATTTCTTTCTCTCTCAGTCTCAGGAAGAAGCCAGCTTCTCTGATTCTGCGTGTATTATATATATAAACCCGGTTATGCTCGTTTCGAAAATTTTACCCCGGTTTGATTGTGTATTCACTTAGCTTTACTCCGGTTTGATCGTTCATTATTATGGCAAAACAAGCCCGACCGGTTCAATCTTGCACTGCAAGGCATATACTGATTTTTTCCCCCGATAAACAAAATTAGGAAAACATTTTGAATGGTATAACAACACTATCTATACTATTAAAACACAACGCATTTTTCAAAGTGTCTTTGTTTCACAAGTATTTAAAACCAAATGCCACTGCATTATATTTTAAGTTATGTTTTATATTAAAGTGGTATTGACCTCATTAAAGTGGTTTTGACTCGATTTTAATTAATTGACAAAATCTTATTAGTCCAACCGTGGAGATTTTTCTATCCGACATTTCATTCATATTTTGAACATTTACGGTTGTTTAGTTGTTATATAATTTTTTTTTAATATTCTATATATCTCATTTCGTTGCCCCGTTTGTATAAACCTTATATAATATTCAGTTAATGTTTTTTAAACCTTATCTCATTATTTTTTTACTTCAAATCTAACCTAGTGTTTATATTCACCATAACCTTTCTTAACATTATTTTCATGTGCACTGCTTCGCCATATTTATATATTTTAAGTAGAACATACTGCTATTTGTATACAAAATTTCATTAAGTTTTGACGTATAATAATTTAGCAGATCAAACTGAAATTAATTACAAAATATATTATTCTTATCTACAACTAACTACTAACGTGAATCCCTAACAAATCGAACAACTTGAACCATCGATATTTATGTTGTTATCAATTAATAGAATTTTTATAGAATATATTATAGAATATTCTTATTAAAAGATTTTTATATTATTATGTTTTCGATTTATATAAAGGCTACCAGAACTGAGCAACAATGAAGATGGACGGTTTAACTGAGGCTCGCCCTTTCAAAATTGGATGGAGCGTCGAGTTGAAAGTTTTGCATTCGTGGAAGTCATTCGAGCACCAGTTCGGTTCTTCGCTTCATATGGTTTTAGAAGACAAAACTGTAAGCCAATATTACATACTTATGGTGTATTTAATATGCTTTATATATAAACTTAATCTATTGTTATTATATTTTGATAGGGTGTGGAAATTCAGGCCATATGCAAACATTCATTGTTGCAACATCTCGAAAAATATTATCGTGTTGGAGAATGGAAAGTTATTACTAACTTTGCCATAAGTCCAGTATATGGTATTTACAGACCCACAACCATGCTTACATAATGGATTTTGTTAGTCAGACTTCTATAACGGATTCAAATCTCCAATGCGACAACAGATTCCTCGATATCCAAGATTTTGCCAGCATCAAAAATGGTTCACATGACACATCTATTCTTATTGGTAACATATACATATGCGTATTTACAAATTATTCAAAATACAATAAACTTATATAAATTGAAGTTTTTTTTATCAGATGTGATTGGTGAAATCTTAGACTTTGGTGGTGTCAATGTTGTTCAAAACGCAAGGAAAGAAGTGAACAAAGTGGAGTTTACACTAAGATATATCAAGTAGGTTTATACATATACTTATATTTACAAGCCCAATTAATATTTGCTAATATTAATTGATGTGTTTATAGTGACAAAATAATTTCATGTTGCTTATTTGGAGCATTATCTGATATTTTTGTTGAACACGTCAAACCAAATAATCATGGAGATATTTGTTTAATCAGATTTGTTAAAATCGGTCACAACAAAGATATTTGTTTTCTAATATGGATAGGATTTTTATTTATTATATATATATATTTTTTTTATTATTTGGTAAAATTCTTTTATATTTTTCAGGAACCTTGCAATCACACAATGCATTCGATGTTTCATTGCTGTTGATAAACCATGATATAAAGGAATCACAAGTACTTAAACAAGGGCGAGTACATTTTATTTGCTTTAAATTTATGTCTTTGTTAGATTATTAGAATACCTATACATACTTGTGAATAATCTAACAAAAACATAAATTTAAAGCAAATACGATTCTCTTAAAATATGGCAACAGAATTAAAGCAAATCATTAAAGCCAACGATAAAATTAGGCTTATGGCATATTCTTGATTCGGTTAACTACGATTTCCTCTTTTTCATGGCTAAATAAAAACACTCACAATACATCATACTTATTAATATAGATGATGCTCCAATCGACAAGGTCAAAAACCACATACCTCAAGAAAATGCCTATGGCTTCTAATATAAAATTTGCGGCTATTAAAGATTTGAAGCCTTAGAAACCAACTTGGGTAGTGCATGTGAAGGTCTTACACACATGGAAACAACAAACAGTCGACACCATGGAGATCATCTTAGCAGATGAGAATGTAAGCTTTATATTAAAATTTGAATTAAGTAATCATTTGTGTTTTTATTAATAGGAAAATGATATATGCTTACTAATTTGTTTATATACAATTTTACTTCAATCCAAATGCAAGAAAAAAATTCTTCTAAACCTCTCTTCAAATAGATAATAATATAACTTTTCCAGATAGAGTATTAAAATTAGACATATATATATATATATATGTTAAAAGTATGAATAATCAGATATTACTAATATTTAATGATATGATGAAGCATGCAATTATTGATATTTTCTGAGTATAGTTTTACGGGTTATTCCAAAAAACATGTAAAATATTTATTAAATATAAAAATAATTGAAGAAAACATAAAACACATTTTATTGATATTTTCTATGAATGATGCAATTGCTGCATACGTGTTCCAACCAGGGGGACATGGCTTTGATGTTTGGAAATATTCATGGCAAAGCACAATCCACTAGAGCACACGTCTGCCTAAAGCTGAAAACGAGGGGTGTTGTTCAAATTTTTTGAAGAGATGAAACATTGATTGAACTTAATATGAATTGTTACAAAAATAGAAAAAAAATCAAGGTTCTTTCTTTCATAGTTTATGTTCTTATCTCTAAGTTCTCACTTTGCTTATATTTCCGATCTTGCACGACATTTCGATAGAAAGAACTTACGGTTCATGCTTTAAAAAGTTTTAGGTTTGGATCTGGTTAGGTTCTAAAATTCCTTAAGAATCTGAGAATCGGATTATATGCACTCTTTTTGTACCAATCCTACTACACCAAATAGTTTACTAAAAATTACTTTGACCACTTTTTTGGTATGAATGTTGAGAGAAATCAGGATAAACAATCATTATATATAAACTGATTTTCATTCAAATCTCTCAGTTTGTAGAACTGTTTGAATGTTGATTGGTTAAAGAACTATAGAAATTTACTCACTATGGTAAACTTTAGGTGACAAGAGAATGTTGATTGCTTAGAGAATTGGAAAAAATTCCAAAAAGATCTTCAACTTCGAGACTAAGAAGAAGAGCTTTGATCAATGAGGAAGACTGATTGTATATCATGATTACCTCAGCTGTACCTACATCTTAATGTTTATTAATCAACATCTTCTTCTTTTTTTCTACTAGATCAATACATTAAGTCAACTAGATCTTGATGCTCTAAAGAACCAACCAATTTAGATTTATATGATTTACATGAGAACACACTAACTCTGCGTTTGTATTCATATTTCTTTCTTCAAAGATATTCGGTGTGAACATTAAATTAATGGAAATATAAACAAAACCAAACCAAACTAAATCAATCAGCGTAATGTTTCTCTCTTCTTCTTCTCATCTGTTATAAGAGTCTTGACTCATTCTGTTTATGTTTGATGTGTCCCTTACAATCCTGATTACTTTGTTGATTACAGGCTGAGGGAGTCTACAATTCCAAACTTGGAGTTACAATAACCCAAGGGGAGACACATCTTTGATCGTGTTATAGCAGAAGAGACACATCTTTTACACGCAATCAGAACACCGAAGCACGCACTCGCGTGCTCAGAGAGTACCTAGTGTTGGAGGAGAAGAAGAAGCAAACCCTAATCAGAGAGATAGATTGGAAACGGAAACTTGCTTGCTACGTCGTTCCTCTTGTATTTCTCTCTCACTCTCAGGAAGAACTCAAGCTTCTCTGATTCTGCTTGTAATATGCTCATTTCGAAACATTTACCCCGGTTTGATAATTCATTATTATGGCTAAAACGACGGCGCTTTTTGCCTGACCGGTTCAACCTTGCACTGCAAGGCATTTACTGATTTTGTTTTTCCATAAACAAAATTAGGAAAACATTTTGAAGTAGAACAACACCTATATGTATATCATTTTTTTTTTCATTTACAAAACCAAGTGTTTGTAAACAACTTATTAATTGCTAGGTATTCCATGTAAATACAATCTCAACGAATATTAGAGGATTTTCATTTTATATTATTAAAATTTAGAAAGTTTATTACAGAATATGAAAACATGATTCATAAAGTTGAATATATGAAGGAAAAAGAAAACGATAGTTTTCCCCGCACGGTTTAAGACTTATAACCAGTGCTTACCAAAATTTTAACTGCTAAGAACATTATCTTGACAAACACGTCACCTTGGGTTTATTTAAGGACAAAACCCTAATATCATCTGTCTTTTGATTTACATATACCACATGGGTCCTTGTGATCGTTGATAGATCACTCTATTGGAGTATTCATGTCCCCATCCCCTGCTTCTACTATCTCATTAGGGTAAACCTACAAGTTAAACATGAGTATGTCAACATTCTTCTTTTAGTAAGTTCAGACCTAACGCAATGATCTATAACAAACAAACCGAGAAGTTAACCTGGTGGCCTTTGTCTGGACTAAGACTAGCAGGACGGACTCTAAGCTCCCCTCTGCTCGTGGTTAACTCGTCTAAAATCTCAGCATCACACTCTAGGACATCTTTCATCGAGCCGGTGGACTTTAAAACAAATGTTAGCTCCAGATTATAACAGAACTCCGGTATAAAAACGCATAAAGGTAATAGATATAGACATTGACTGACTCACCCTGAAAGATAGCTCGAGAGGGTTCCTAGGAGTTCCAGGGATCTCCTCGTACTCAGAAGCATCTAGTTCTCGGAGATGAGCCGGTTTAAAGATCTTCGGGAGAACGTACTGTCTGATGGCTATTAATAGAAAGAAAGGTACCGGAAACATGATTCCCGCCACCGGAATCCACGTCACTCCGTAGCAAAGGCCAAAGTAGAATATCTGTAACATTGTGAACGCAGCCATTGACTTGTAAGGAACCTTCTCCACAAACGACGCGTGTGCTCCCTCCAAGACCCTGGCCACAACATTCATCAAGTGATCATGCTTTGAAACAGAGTAAAACAGAGAAAAACAGAGCAAAACAGAGCAAATTTAGAGCACATACTTGAATCTACGGCTTGGTGGGACAAAGAGAAGCACTGTGCGTTCAAAGAACTGATTCCCTGGGAGACTATCGATGGCCATGTAAGCGAAGTAGCCCCATAGGAGAGAAGTAGGTATGAGTTTAATGGCAGGTATAGCCAACACAGCACCAGCCACTAGGAGTGACTGTAACAGGTTGCTTACTCTCTGCTCGTTGACTCGAACAGGCAAGAAAGCTTCAAGGTGCTTCTCTGGATCGAAGCCACTCTCCTCGTTGCTTTCTCCTTGGCCCTCATTTTTCTTCATCACTGCTTCTTTCAAATCTTGCAGCTCCATTATGTGTGTTGTGCTTGTCTGAACCTGTAGAAACAAGAGCTTGCTTATGACTATGAATCTTGAACTTTTACTTATGGTGTTGAGTGTACTACGTACAAGTGGGCTTTTGTCCATCTCTATGAAGACTTCTTGCATGTTCTCATACACTTGTGAGGAACTTGCTCTCTTTCTCATGCTTTCTTTAGCTGTCATCACCATCTTTCTCCGTATTAGCTGCACAAAAGTAACCACCAAAGTTATAAATTGTTATAAATATTGGTCTGAACTTAGCACTAAACCTGTCTTTTGAGAACAGCTAGGCTTTTGGTATGCATTGGAGACTGAGGAAGGACACCATTGGAAGGAGGCAGACCGAGCAATCCGCAGACCAAAACCTACACAGTTTTTGAGATTTCAACTAAAAGATCAAATGTTGTAAAGTGTGTGAGAATGATTACCATGAAACCTAACAAGAGTACATCATAGTGATAAGCAGAAGGGTTCTTGAGGTTGAACTCCTTCTGCTGTGCTAGCTGTGCCACAACGCTGTGGTCAAAGAAGTAGAGCCCTGCGATCATCAACGCGGGGATAAACCCCGCGAAAATGTAGGCCGGAGGGACTTTTCCCATGTCCTGTATAAACCAAGAACATGAAGAGGTTCAGATGATGAATCAAGAAAATCTTTAAAAAGATGTATAGAGTGGCTTTTTTTGTGACCTTGATGACAGTCCAGTGTCCTAAAGAAGCAGAGTCCCATGGTAGAGGACTAGAGAGTCTTCTCGGGACACCAGAAGGGAGTTTTGATGGAGTACTGAAAGACAATGCTGTCCAAACTACAACCATCAAAGGAACTCCATAGTCTGCTATAAAGTTTCTGTACCATCCTTTTAAAACCAAAAAGAATTTTTAAGGCATTTTAATTTTTTTTTTGACA